GATCTTTTGCATGCTGATGTATGGGGACCTTTCAGAGTACCCACCTACGATAGCAAGAGATTTTTTCTTACAGTGGTAGATGATTTCTCTAGAATAACTTGGCTTTTCCTGATGAATACTAAAGATGAGACTTGTTGGTTAATAAAAATATTGTTTTCTATGATCGGTACTCAGTTTGATTGTTCTGTTAAGATCCTGAGAACAGATAATGGTTCTGAATTTGTTAATTCAAATATGAAGCAGTTAGTTGAGACATTAGGAATTGTACATCAAACTACATGTGTTTATACTCCACAGCAGAATGGCATAGTGGAAAGAAGACACAGATACATCCTTGAAACAGCTAGAGCTTTGAGATTTCAATCTGCAGCACCCTTAAGATTTTGGGGTGAGTTATTCTTACAGCAGTATACATAATAAATAGATTGCCTTCCACAGCCTTGAAAGGAAAGCCCCCCTATGAAGTATTCTTTAACACTGCACCATCATTTGGGTGCTTATGTTATGATGTAAATGTAAGAAAACAGGACAAATTTTCTGCTAGAGCATTGCCAGCAGTGTTTATGGGATACTCACCAACAAAGAAGGGCTATAAACTGTATGACTTGCAATCCAGGCAGTTCCTAATCAGTAGAGATGTGGTGTTTAAGGAGCAGGTGATCCATTTTAAACAAATGAAGATGATGCCTAATCCCTTATTTCCAGTCCTTGAGTTAACAGATGAGCATTTTGTCTCACCTGTTTCTGATGATGTTCAGGAGCATGCTACTCCTACCAATGACTTTGCACTTGATGATGCTGATTCACCTGAAGCACAAGCTGACAGCCCTGCACCACATGATGTTGAGCCTCCTTCACATGTAGAAGTTGTTCAACCAATTGCAGTCAGAAAGTCCCAAAGAACAACTGGACCTCCCAGATGGATGCAGGATTATGTGACAAGTTCTTGTGCATATCCTATGTCCAATTATCTGAGCTATGATAGGTTATCCCCTTCATATGTAAAATGTCTTACTGCACAATCAGTCATCGTTGAGCCCAAGCGCTACTATGAGGCAGCCAAAGATGCAAAATGGGTCAATGCTATGCAGCAGGAGATTCAAGCTCTGGAAGATAACAAGACTTGGGATATAGTTGATCTGCCTAACAGTAAAGTCCCTATAGGTTGTAAGTGGGTATACAAAGTCAAATACAAAGCCAATGGGGAGGTGGAAAGGTTCAAGGCTAGGCTTGTGGCCAAAGGCTTTAGCCAAAATGAAGGTCTAGACTACAAGGAGACTTTCTCTCCTGTAGCTAATATGGTGACTGTCAGACCAGTTATAGCTGCAGCTGCTTCAGAACATTGGCACATCTATCAGATGGATGTGCATAATGCATTCTTGCAGGGGGATCTCTTTGAAGAAGTATACATGCAACTTCCTCAGGGTTTTGGCACCAAAAGGGAGTCTAGAGCCAAGGTGTGTAAATTGAGAAAGTCACTTATGGGCTCAAACAAGCATCTCGACAGTGGAACTTGAAGCTCACAGAAGCTCTCCAAGACCTGGGATTTGTCCAAAGCCACTTTGATTATTCCTTGTTCACACAAAGGAGAGGTGTTGCTTTAGTGGTTGTCCTAGTTTATGTAGATGACCTCCTGGTGATAGGCAATAATCAACAACATATTCAAGCTGCTACAGATAACCTTCAGAAGAAGTTTAAAATGAAAGACTTAGGGGAGCTCAGATTCTTCTTAGGCATAGAATTTGCCAGAAGTAAGGCTGGAATCCTCATGAATCAACGCAAATATGCCCTTGATCTGATATCTGATTCAGGGCTAGGGGGAGCAAAGCCTGTGTCAACACCTTTGGAAGTCAATCAGAAGCTCACATCAGTGGAATTTGATGAAGCTACGCAGACCAAGGATGATGAGGATACTATTCTGGCTGATGTTGAACCCTATCAAAGGCTTGTAGGAAGGTTGCTCTACCTTACCATGACCAGGCCTGTAGCTTATGTGGTTCAGGTCTTGAACCAATTCATACACAAACCTAAGAGGTCATACATGAATGCAGCCCTCAGAGTCATCAGATATGTGAAGAGTGCTCCAGGTCTAGGTTTACTAATGTCTTCTGCAACCTCTCATTCATTGGTTGCTTATTGTGACTCGACTGGGCAGCCTGTCCACAGTCCAGAAAATCAGTCACAGGGTACATTGTGAAGTACGGGGAATCACTTATTTCGTGGAAATCCAAGAAGCAGAGCACAATGTCAAAAAGTTCAGCAGAGGCAGAGTTTAGAAGCATGGCCTCAACAGTAGCTGAATTATCATGGCTTGTGGGTCTGTTTAAGGAGTTAGGCATCACTGTGAAATTGCCCATAGACTTCTTCTGCGACAGTAAAGCGGCCATACAGATAGCTGCTAATCCAATATTCCATGAGAGGACCAAACATATTGACATCGATTGTCATTTTGTACGGGAGAAATTGCAGCAAGGTCTCATCCAAACACATCATGTCAGTACTAAGGATCAACTTGCAGATTTACTTACCAAAGGTCTTGGAAAAGCACCACATTATCTTCTGCTGAGCAAGCTGGGAGTAGAAAATTTGTTTCTACCCTCCAGCTTGAGGGGGAGTATTGAGCCAAGCAATATTACTTAGTTAGTTATAGTGACAGTTAGTTGCGCAAATTGTAACTTAAGTTTACTGTGGTTAGTAGTAGAGTTAGTTAACTGTAGTTAATAGTTAGTTAGCTTTTAGTCTTATACATATACATGTACAGACATACGCAATTTTTTTAAAGAAATTGAATCTCTGAGAATATTCTCTCTCCATCTTCTTCCTCTGTTTCACCGACCTACTCAAACTCACCAGATTAGCTTTAATCAGCTAAGAATCCATAATTCATGGATAGCTGATTTTGACATACCAGTGGCGGAGGGTGTCAAATGATACCCCTTTGCGGGAAAAATACACTGTATAGGTAGGTAATTTTTTTTTTATATGTATATATACTATGTATTAACTCCCCTTAATTTTCTAGTATATTTACTTTTATATATTTTGACACTTCTTAATGAAAATTCTGGCTCCGCGCCACTAATGCTACCAATTACCTAACTTTACACTAGAGGATAGGCCCATCTTTGGACAAGTGGATATGTAGAAAACAATAGTAAGGTCCCAACAGGCAACACTTCGCTTTCTGAATTAAATCGACCATATAAATTAATGTGCATATATATCCACTATATTCTTCTTCTTCTTCTTGTAGAAAGAACCCAAATAGCAAAATTATTATATGTATAAACAAACTTGAAATTCTCTCAAGAAAGTTGATTTTCAAGTGTTGAAGAACAATAGCAAGAAAAAAGGATTCTCGTTTTCTTCAAATCTTGTGGTGTTTCTTTTCTGGTTCATACACAATGCAATCAATTCCAAGTAAGAGATTGTTCCTCTCAAATCTTGACATATAGATATATAATTGCAAATACTGGTTTAGCCATTAATTAGTATTTGCAAATAGAGAGTATCAACATTGAAATATATATATATATGTTTGACAAGTAAAATGATGATTTATAACTTAGAAAATGTTTTTGAGTGTTAAGGATCTATCTTACTCCTTCAACTTCATTTCTGCTATTGTAAAAGACAACATATATAGGTAATATAATTGGGTACCATGTATCCAAGACTAGTCGAATAATAGTTACCCTCATTACCAAAAAAAAAAAAAAGAAGAAGTAAACAATGGTTTTTTTTATTTGATTTTTGATAATTCAAAGTGTTCAACTAAAACGTTAATACAAAAAATCAAGCAGAAAAGCTTAGATCACATTCAAAATATTGACTAGATTAAACAGAAAATTCAATTTTACCATACATTGGCGGCGTAATTATTATACAACAAAACAGTGTAAAAATGTGATACAATGCATATATATACGCACTAGGGGTGTTTTAATCGGTTTTATCGGGTTTTTTGAAATTTTTTTATTACATGAATATAATTTCACTCTTATTTTATTAAATTTTTATAACTAAATATATATTTAGTAAAAGTTAGAAAAAATGACAAACATATGATCTATTAAAATATTATTATGGGAGAATTTTCTTAGTAATACATGATAGTTATTTTTTAGTCGTTTGAGAATAATTTTTCGTCGATGTACACTTTCAAGGTTAACCGGATTTAATAATTAAACATAAAAATCAATATGCTACCTATATAATGATATATTCTATTAAATTTTAAAATATCGAAATATCACTTCAAATTCGAAAAAAATATAAGAATTTAATCGATCTTGACATGTGAATATGGAAGAACAAAGAAATTGACGCATTTTACTAACGCTTAATAAGAGAGTGATCATACAACCATTATTTAAAGTTAATAAAAATAGAGCACTTTATATTTAACTAAATATTACATCCCATAAGAGAATCGCAAAATTTCTAGATATTTTAAAAAAAAATTCTATAAAAAGTCTTAAAAGTATATATATAAAAATTATATATTTATATGTCGGTTTGGTTCGAGCTTTTTTACTCAATACCAAACCAAATCAAACTAAACCTAGTCGGACTTTTTAATCTATTTGATTTGACTTTTCAGGTTAGTGCGGTTTTCCGGTTCGGTTAGTACACCCCTAATACGCACCCTTTGTCTAGGGGTGTTCAAAATCGATCCGAAACCGAAAAACGATCCGAACCGAAGCTTAATGGCTTATTGGTAACGGCTTAACGGCTTAATGGACGGGGAACAAATTGAATTTTTTTTATTAACGGCTTATCGGTTTGGGGGCGGATTATTCAATTTTCTTAACGGATAATCCGTTAACCCGTTAAGAATATATATATATATATATATATNTATTGAGAAACCTCAAATTCTGTATCATGAGGATGAGTACTATGTGTTTAGGTTTGATAATATAGAAGATAGGGACCTAGTGCTTCAAGCAGGACCTTACACATACCATAACAAGCCTCTAGTGCTGCAACAATGGCGAATGGACTTTAAATTTGACCCAGGGAGTGTGAGTGTGATACCACTTTGGATTACATTCCCAAGCCTTCCCCTGGGGTTCTGGTCTACGGAAGCACTTAGCAAACTTGCTAGTGTTGTTGGTAAGCCGCTGTACACAGAGAAGATCACAGCTGAAATGGAGAAGGTATCTTATGCTAGAGTGTTGGTGGAAACTGATATCTCACAGCCACTTCCAGACAGTTTTGAAATGCAAACAAAGAAGGGAGTTATACTTCAGCAAATAGAGTATGAATGGAAGCCGAAATTCTGTTGTGAATGCATTAAGTTTGGGCATAATTCAGATGATTGCTGGCTCAAGGAGAAGCAAAGAAAGGTGGATGAAGGAAGGGCCCAACCAAAGGAAACATGGAACAGGAAACAACAGCTCAGGAGGAACATGAAATGGCTACCAAAAGAGAAAAAAAAGGAAGAAGAAGCAAGTCAACAGCTTAAACCTGAAGGTGAAAGGAAACAGACAGGTGATAAAGTTACTGAGAACTCTACAGATAAAGGGAAGATAAAGGGGAAGGGAGTTCAACAGAGTACTATAGTCATGGTACAATCCAGGAACAGATTTGAAGCTTTGCAAATAGATGATGATCCAGGGGGCGCTGGCCCATCCAGCTTCACCAAAAAATGATGCTATGCACATGGAATATAAGGGGGCTGAACAAGCCCTACAAGCAGAAAGAGTTAAGACTCTTTCTGAGAAAGCATAAGGTGGATTTTATAGGGTGCTTAGAAACAAGAGTAAAGGAGAAAAAAGCTAGCAAGATTATTAATAAAGTATTAATTGATTGGAGGTTCTGTTGTAACTACAAAGAACACTCAAATGGGAGGATTTGGCTATTGTGGAAGCAACACATTGAGGTCAAGGTGCTGCTGATAGATGAGCAATTTATACACTGTGAGGTACAAGAAAGAAGTTCCAGTTTCAAGACCTTGCAAACTGTTGTGTATGCTAGTAATGAAATTAATACTAGACAGCAGTTGTGGAGTAAACTTACACAATTAGGTGCAAACATCAAAGAGACTTGGTTACTTAGTGGGGACTTTAACAATGTTCTCCACACTGAAGACAGGATAGGGACTCCAGTTACACAAAGTGAGATCAAAGGTTTTCAGGAGGTGATTATTACATTGCAACTCACACAAGTGAAGAGCCTGGGATGGTTCTACACTTGGTGTAACAAGCAGGAGCCGACAAAGAGGGTTTACAGTAGAATTGATTGGGCATTGGGCAATTTTGACTGGATGCAACAATACAGCCACATTGAAGCAGAATTCTTAAACCCAGAGGTATCAGATTATTCTCCTATATTATTCCAATGTAGGCCTAAGGATCAAATGAGAAACCTACATCCAAAACCTTTTAAACTATACAGCTATGTTATGGACCATGCTGATTTTCCGAATATAGTAAAAAGGGTATGGGATAAAGAGGCACAAGGGAGTCCTATGCATAGGGTGTGGAGTAAACTTAAATGGTTGAAAACTGATCTTAAAGGGCTGAATACTTACATGGCTTCCTTTAAGCTACAGCTCAATAAGGCCAGGCAGAGACTTGAAGTAATTCAGAATGAACTTAAAAACCAACATATGGATCAAAGGCTGATTGATCAAGAGAAACTGGCTTTAATGGAAGTGGAGAAATGGAGTAGCATTGAGGAACAAATTCTACATCAGAAGTCTAGAGCAAATTGGATAACTTGTGGTGATTCAAATACTAAGTATTTCCATGCACAATGGAAGATGAGGACAAGCACAAATACCATTAGTTCCATTTACAATAATGTGGGGACTAAGGTATCTGATCCTATTCAGGTGGAGAAAGAGTTTGTCACTTTCTTTACAAAGCTGCTGGGAGAGTGTAACACTACAAGCAAATGCCCAAACTCAGAGGTCATAAGACAAGGGACTTGTCTCAATCTGCAGCAGAAGGAGGACCTAATAAAGGAAATTCTGATGGCAATCAAAGACATGCCCCAGGATAAGGCACCAGGAGTGGATGGCTTTCCAATTGAGTTCTTTACAAGACATTGGCAGGCAGTGGGTGGTGATATCTATGAGGCTGTAAAGGAGTTCTTTGTAACTGAGAAATTGCACAAAGGAATTAGTAGTACTGCTGTAACATTGATTCCTAAAGTGCAAAATCCGAGTTATGTAAAGGATTATAGACCCATAGCATGTTGTACAACTTTGTACAAGATTATCACAAAGGTGCTCACAACTAGACTCAAAAGAGTTATTGGGGGACTTATTGGGAGCTCACAATCAGCCTTTATAGAAGGCAGGAGTATCACTGATAATATCTTATTCACGCATGAATTGTTCAAAGGCTACAGCAGGAAAGGTATCTCCCCCAGGTGTGTTCTGAAAGTGGATTTAAGGAAAGCTTATGATACTGTAGAATAGTGTTTCATGGAAAGACTGTTGACTGACTTGGGCTTTTCTCACAAGTTTATAAGATGGGTAATGGAGTGTATCACTTCAGTTACATATTCTTTAAATATAAATGGGGGACTTACAGCACCATTCAAAGGCAAGAGGGGGATAAGGCAAGGAGACCCAATGTCTCCCTACCTGTTTGTTTTGGCCATGGAGTACTTACAAAGAGAGTTTATACAGATGATGAAGAGCAAAGACTTTAAATTCCATCCGAGATGTAAGAAGCTGGGAGTGGTACATGTATGTTTTGCAGATGATTTGCTGATGTTTTGCAAGGCTGATATAAAGTCTGTAAGACTACTCAAACAGACTTTCCAAAAGTTTTCCATGGCATCTGGTCTACAAGCAAATGCTGAGAAAAGCTCCATTTACATAGCTGGGGTTTCAGTGATCCAGAAAGAGGAGATTATACAAGAACTGGGGTATGTAGAAGGAAGTTTGCCTTTTAAGTACCTAGGGGTTTCTTTTGGATTCCAAAAAACTGTCAATTTCTCAATGCTGGCCATTAGTAGAAAAGATAACACAGAAGATAAATTGCTGGACATCAAGGCTTTTATCATATGCAGGTCGTTTGCAACTGATAAAGTCAGTCTTATTTGGTGTGCAATCGTATTGGACACAAATTTTCTTATTGCCAAAGAAAGTGATGAAGATGATAGAGGCAATTTGTAGATCCTTTTATGGACAGGTTCAGCAACTGTATCAAGGAGGGCTCTAATTTCATGGGATACGATTTGTCTACCACAGAGTGCAGGGGGGCTAAATATCATGAACATGTATTACTGGAACAAGGCTGCTGTTGCAAAGCATCTGTGGGCTGTGGCAAAGAAGAAGGGTAGCCTTTGGATAAAATGGTTGCATACCTACTACATAAAGAACTATGTGCTGGAAAATATGCCTATACCTAGGAATGCAGCCTGGGTAGTTAGGAAGATTATTGATACAAGGAGAATGATCAATGAACTCCATGGCATCCAAGGGGACCTGGCATCAAGACTGATCCAATTACAGAGGGGTGATCTATTTAGTATACAAAAACTTTACAGGCTTCAATTCCCTCAGCTCCAGAAGGTCCAGTGGAAGAGTATAGTTTTGCAACCACACATGCATCCAAGGTTCAAATTTATTTTGTGGCTTGCATTACATAGAAGGTTGGCAACTGTGGAAAGGCTGATGAAGTTTGGTATACAGGCTCCACAACAGTGTGTCTTGTGCAAGCAGATGGATGAGACCTTTGATCACCTATTCTTTGACTGCTCGTGGATAAAGGCATTATGGTTGAGGCTGCTCCGATGGCTAGGGTATGATAGAAATGTGAGTGACTGGCAGAATGAGATCAACTGGATAAGCATGGTTGCAAAACTGAGGAGTGGGCATTGTATGATAGTTGCATGTGCCTTTGGTATGATGGTCCATACTATTTGGAGAGAAAGGAACAGACTAAGATTCCAGGGAGGCACTGTGATTGTCAACAACATATGCAAAGAAATAGCAATCCACATACATACGAAAGAGAGTAAGATACAAAAATGGAAGGGAGCTCCTGAGATGATCAATTACTACCCTTAGAATGCTAGTTTTTGTTCTTTTTGTGTATATCACTAGCTAGGTTGAGGATTGTTATATAGCTTGAGTATGATACTTAGGCTAGAGTTTATGAAAGGAGATGAGTAGATGGTCAGCATCTACTGATTTGTAATGTAATTTTTGGAATGAATATAAAAGCTGTTTATCAAAAAAAAAAAAATTAAAAATAAAAAAAATAAAAAATTAAATTTGTATTAAAGCTAAAACGAACGAAAATTTACATAATAAATAGGCTGACAGTGAAAATATTACTACCACATTTAGATATAATGTGTTCAAACAACTAAGAAAATATTTTTTTATGATTAATATCTGAATTGAGTGCAGTTAGTATAAGTTTGAAAGCATAGCATAATTTTTTGAAACTGCGTTCTAATTTAAAGATAGAATGACAAGAATTATTTGAATTTGAGATGAGATATTTATTTCATAATTTTTTTATTTTGCAAATATTACGGAAAGAAATAAAATGACATTAAACATATTACTACATACATATAATATGTTCAAGCAATTAAGAAATTATTTTTTATATTAAGATACAATTTCAAGAATATAAAATAACTTTCTTATATATGTAATTTTATTAATGAAAATTAAAAAAATAAATTTATATCTTAAATCTAAAAAAACATTTAACTGCACCTAAATCAAAAATAATTATAAGAGAACTCAATAAATTTAGAACATTATCATCAAATAACTTATGTATTAATATTGTAGCCTACATCAATTTTACAATTTAAAATAAAATATGATATTATTTCTGTTATAGGTAAAAAATTAATGATAAAAACTAATTAAAATTTATAGTAGGGAAGAGAATGCACAAAAATAGAGATAGTGTGAGGACACTTATACATTAAATCAATTTAAAAATAAATAAATTAAAAAATTAAATTATATTTAATAATATTACTATAAATTTAATTGATTAGAAAATTCCGAATGGGAGGATACAAGCATAAAAATATACCAAATTTCAAGAATAAAATATTTCTATTTATTAAAGACTTTTAAAAGAATAATAAGCAAGACATTAATTTAATTATTAAGCTAAAAAATATTATACGATAGTACAATAATATTAAATGATAAATAATACAATAACTATAAGAAGAAAAAAAAAGAAAAAAGAATTTGTATACAAATAATGTGATGAATAAAACATATTTAACTTTTATATAAAAACAAAGTGATAGTAAAAGTTTGTTAAAATAATATGATCTATTGTGCTCAAACAAGACATATCACAACATGATATGTTTAGTATTCTTTAATATTGACAACGAAATGAAATGCAAGACTAAAATCAAGGGGTTAAGTTGCTACAAATATATATATATATATATATATAAAATAGGTTATGCACTACGAGATTTGAACAATAATTTCATATCCTACTTCATAATTAAATGTTATATAATTTTATCTGAGAGGTTTATATTTTAAGGTTATTTGCACATGATTCAAATCACTTACATCACAATTTAATATGATTTGTGTCCGCGCATCGCACGGGTACTAATACTAGTACTACTTAATAATCACAGAATGAGAGAGAATTCGTGGGTGTGGCTCCCACCCTACCTTTGGGTAGAGAGA